TAGAGGCTATAACACGGCAGCAAGTGGAAAGGGCCCTTCTTGAGTCTCAGGCAGCATCTTCCACCCCAAATGGGGTGCAAACAGATGCAAGGGAAGTGGTCTCTGAGGGGCGCCTGGGGTTTCTCACACTTTGCACAGCTGTCCTCTGTAGTCCCTCCCCTGCCCATGACCTCCCTGCTGCAGAGCCCCTGACTGCAGAAAGGAGAAGGGGGGGGGTGTTGAGGACAGCGCCCCAGGAGCGGAAGGCAAGCTGCAGCCTCTACAGTCCTCCTCCCATCCACGCTAGAGCCAGAGTGGTGGAAATGGGGGCAGAAGCTGCTGGCACTGGAGCGCTTGAGGTACCTCGACCTTGCATGACTGCTCCAAATCTTGTTTGCTGTGGAAGATGTGCACTCACCTCCACAGGGACACATTTTTATTTTCATAAAGGTTTTGGAAGGCCTGGGAACTGAGGGGCACAGTGATGGCAGGTTGGGGGCAGGAATGGAGATGGGGACTTGAAGAGGTCTCTCAGCCTCTTGGACTTGCTTCCCCTCATTTCATCTTCCCAGTTGGCTGTAGGCAGCTGCCAGTCCTGTGGGACTTCATACTATGACTCTCAGCAAGGAGCTACATGAAGGGACAGGAGGTGACCCGTGGTTCTGGGCTGTGTCCCTCAGACCTGCTCAGCCATGTGGGGCTGTGTAACCCTCAGCGGCGCTGGCTAGTTTGGAACTTTGGGTCCGAGAGTACTGGGCCCTGGCTGCTCACCGCAGTAAGGGACAGGGGTCCTTCAGCTGTCACTGAAGGCCAGCTGGGAGCCAGTGACCAGCAGCTGCTGCTACACTTCAGAGGCCTGCTCTCCCCGAGTTGCTCCTCAGAGCCCTGCCCTATCTAGCTGGGACCTGGCCCTCCAGTGCAGGAGGGTCCTGGACATCTGGCTTGGACCAGGAGGGTCTGTGCTATGTCCCTGGGCCTGGATCCACTTTAGCTTTTGGACAGCCTGCTGAGGCCACCAGTGTGGGCCACGCAGTGGTGACAGAGTTATTTTGTTGGTGTGGACTTTAGCTGGGACTCATCCATCAGGGTTGCAAGGGGCTTCCCTAAGGAAGTGGGAAGCTGGTGGGCACAGGACTCCTGTGAGGCCCCCTTCAGATGGTATCTGTATTGACTGGCATCTGACACCACAGGATATCATCTACAGGGCCCAGGCCCAAAGACCCATGAGCAAGCCATTCAGAACCCCTGCCATAAGCTCCGGGGGCCACTGTTCCCCCTCAGGCAGCGCCTCCCCAGGTAACAGCCTGCTGCTCCTCTCTTCCTCATTTAAAAGTAAACCTGTGCCTGGCCCCAATGGGTGGAAGCAGGCTAGGGGCTGCCCTCTGGCTCTTAAGTTTTGGAATGGACTTAGAATCCTGCTGAGGGACCTGAGACATCCAGGAGGTGATGCCCCAGCGCAGCAGAATGAGAGGGAAGGCCTGAGGACCCCCCTCGCCCCCTGGACATGCTGCGCTCCTGAGTCACTCAGTGGAGATCAGCTGGGCTCCCCTTCAGCCAATGGGCAGGGGCTGGAGGTGTAGCTCTGGGGTACGGCATGTGCTTAGAATGTTCAAGGCCCTGGGTTCCACCCCAGCACTCCCCCAAAGTGATTAAGACAATGAAGTGATTGAGCAACAAGGAACTTGGGGTGATCCCCTGTGTCTTAGAACAGAAGCACTTTAGAGACTTTAGAGAATATCTTCTCTAAAGGAGTACCCTGAGCAGGTGGCCCCCAGCTCTCCCAAAACTGAGGATTTGGGGTACTTGGGTTTCTAAGCAAGGCCATGAGACACATGGTGCTGGCTGCTGGGCTGCCCCTCTCCCTGCCTGTTCCAGCTTGTCCCCTGCCCGGTGTTGCCTGTGGTATCCTAGGAACACTGGGCTTCAGGCTCTGTGGTCCTGTTACATAACAGCTCCAGCCCATCCCTGAGTTCAGCCCTCCGACACAGAGCCTCTTCCCCAGACACGGGCTCCTGCTGCCCGGGCCTCCGTCTCTGCCCCTCCTCTGCCCACCCCCAGAGTGCAGAGGGAGGGCACTTCAGAGGCAAGCAGCATCAGCTGGACTCTTTCCACAGGGTGCCCACGTCCTGTCCTTGTCCCAAGTGAGCATACCACCTGTCAGTGGCTGCACACTGGCCACAGCTTCCAAAAGCCAGCAGGTTCTGGGGGCAACCCCAGAGTTAGCGTAGCACCCTCACCCCTCCCTGGGGCTTGGCATTGCTGCCCTCCCGCTGCTCAAGACAGAGACAGCAGACCTTTGCTGGGACCCTCCCCAGCCTGTCCTGCCACTGTCCCTGTTCCCAGACCACCACTTGTGCTCCTACCTGTCCTCTTCTCAGGCCAAGGCAGAGAGTGCTCCAGTAAGGACTTGAGGACCTCAGGCATGTCCATGGCAGGGGCCACTCTGATAGATTCTCAGATCACGGCTCACCAGGGCCCAGCAGGAGGTGTCTGCTTGCGAGTTTGGAAGCAGCTGGAGAGGCTGGGGCTGGCCAGGGAGCCGCAGGCTGGGGAGGCAGGCGGGGTGGGAGCTGAAGGCAGCCAATGGGCAGCACCAGCCCTGGCCCGCCCGTCCACCCCCAGCTCGGCCACCTGCCAGCTCTGGCTGCAGCCAGGCCTTCCCTTCCCGCTGCTTGGCAGGGCGGACCTGGCCCTGTGCCAACCACAGCACGTGGAGCCACAGCGCCAATCCTCTGACAGAGAACCCGGCCTGTTATCTAACTTTGCAAAGGGAAGTTCTCCCCCAGGCTGGGAGCCATAACTGGGGCTGCCAGTGGAGAACGGTGAGCCGAGCTCCACGCCCACATGGAGCAGGCCAGCCCAGCCCCGGCCCACGGCAGCACAAGGCAGGTGGAGCCCTGGAGGCCCAGGCACCATGGGAGAGCAGGGCACATCGGGCTGGGATCTGAAGCCCCAGGGAGAAAGAAGGACCAGCACTCCCAGAAGCTCAGCATAAGAGATACGGGGAACACTAGTGGCGACATCATGCATTCCCAGGCAGGCTTGAGCCTGGAAGGGTTGGGGCGTGTTTAGATGATGTGGCATGCTGTGCACACGTGTCCTGCACAGCACAGGCTCATACATGTGGCATGCATAATGGGCTTGTGCCACCTGCAGTGCCTACAGCCTTTCTTCAAAGCAGAGTGACCCAGCTGCAGCCTGAGGGTCTTTGGGCTTGTGTGTGTGTGTGTGGGGTGTGTCCCAGGAGTCCTGGGAGGGTGGGGCAGCCTAGCAGCCCTGGCTCAGGCTTGTTCTGCAGCACAAACCCTGCTTTCTCATCTGTCATGGGCGCCTTGGTGGCAACTGGCTGTTTGCTGTGGTCTCCTCTCCTACTCTCCTGGTGAAGACATTGTGTGGCCACTGTGGCCCCAAGGCCGCTTCAGTTGTGGGTGAAGCCGCAAATCTGTTAAAATCTTTCTGAAAACAACATCAAGGGCTGGCCAGATAGCTCAGTGGAGTAAAGTACCTGCTTAGGCAGGCACAGGGACCGGGGTTTGATCCCCGGCATGCCATGCCAGCCCTGCCTCTGGGGCACACTGAGACTTTAATGATACTGGGCATGATGGAGGCTGAAAACAGGAGGATCACTACAAGTCCAATCTATGTAGCGAGAATCTGTACTACATATATTAAAACAAAACAAAACAAAAACCCACATCAGAGTGAAGCTAGACTTGGTTTAAGGATGGCAAGCTTTTAATTACCTGCAGCACTGGAAATCAAACCTAGGGCTTTCACATTGAGCTATGTGTCCTATTTTTATTTTTTGAGATAGGGTCTCACAAAATTGCCTGGGTTGGGCTTGAGCTTCTAATTCTCCTGCCTCAGCCTCTCAGCCTCCCCAGCCTCCCAGAGTGCTGGGATTACAGGTATGTGCCACACACCTGGCTCGATGCCAAGTTCTTACATGCCTGCCACATACTAATGTGGACTTTTTTTTTTTTTTTTAATCCTCAAGACTTTAAGCTTGCCAGACAGGTGCTATGCCCGAGCTGTATCCCTGGTACCACTGATGTGGTCTTTTGAACAGGGACTCTGGGTCTCAGTTGTAGAACTGTTGAATGCCGTGACCTCCTGACTTCCATGACTACAGAGTTCTGGGCTAGATGTGATAATTACTTGGTTTTCTGCTCTGTGGCTTATCCTCACAACACCCCTCACTACTTCCTCAAATCTCACTTGATTTTCTTTTCTTTCTTTCTTTCTTTCTTTCTTTTTTTTTTTTTTTTTTGGTGGAACCTGGTATTGAACTCAGGCCCTTGCGCTTGCCAGGCAAGTGCTTATTCCACTGAGCCATCCCCCCGGCCCTTTATTTTCTTTTTGAAGCAAGATTTCACTGTGTAGTGCAGTGTGGCCTTGAACTCACAGTGACCCTCCTGCTTCAGCCTCCTGAGTGCTGGGATTACAGATGTTCGTCACCTTGCCCAGCTCCAGATTCTACTTTGCACAAAACTAGAAGTACTCCGGAGTCCCTTCTTGGCCTTCCCTTTTCAACAGCTCCAGTTTATTGGATAATTACCCTCTTTTCCACCCTAATAATCCTCTTCAAACTATGTTCTTTTCCTAAATTAATTTTAATATTTGAATAAAAACATGGCTCAGGAGTCACAACCTTTGATAAGGTGTACTTTAGAAATTTTAAGGGCTGGCAAGATAGCTCAGCACACTAAGTTACTGTTTAGGTGAGCTCAGGCACCAGAGTTCAATCCCCGGCACCACATGCTGCGCTGGCCCTGCTGGGCTGGCTATTGAATATGGGAGTGGTGGGGCAGGCCTGTAATTCCAGCATTGGGGAGGCCGAAAACAGGAGGACCACTGCCAATCCGAGCTGCATAGTGAGACCCTATAACAACCAAATATATTATTTAAAAAAAAA